GCGGCCGGCGGCGCGGCTTGGAGCTCGGCAGCAGGCTTTGGGCGCTGCAGCCCCAGCTCCCGCTTGCAAATGGCTCTTCCACTACTGGGCGGGCCGTGCTGAAGCTCCAGACCTGGAGAGCACACCTCCTTCTCCAGCTACCTCCGCGCACCCGTGCAGGCCCGTCCTTTACCCGGTCTTGGCGGGAGCCCAGCTGATGAGTCCGGGAAGACAGACTCCCGGGCTCGACGAAGGTGCAGGGCACGGCGGGCAGCGCAGCCATGCTCCCATTTTTGGAGACGCAGGCGACTTTGAGCGAGCACGGAGGTGTGGTCGAGCCTTCTCGGGATGGGAAACGCTGCATTTCTCGGTCCCTGTGCGGAGCAGGGCGCTTGTCGTCGTTTCTGGAGAACCTGACTTCTGACCCGAATTCGAGTTTTCCGTGCTTAGGAACACAAGGTGGTGTCCAGAGGGGCCTCTGATGAATGGTCTTTGCTTTTAAGGACACGCCGTGAGCGGCCTGACTTCTCAGGACGGGGAAGCCTGCCTTACCTTTTCTGTACTCCTGGGGGGGAGGCTTGTTCCCTTGCCTGCCGGCAGCTAGGACAAGGAAGAGAAAAGGTACTGACGCCGAGACGGGCTTGCTGGCGCTGTGGAACTGAAAGGTGTAAAGTCAGTGGAGTTTGACTGGGTCAGGGAATGGCGCCGGCGTAATAGAGCCGTGATGTTCCATCTGCTCTCGTTTTAAATCAAACGTGAGGTTTTGTCGTGACTGCTGCAGGGCTGTCAAGACGCTAGAGTCGTGGGTGCCTACTGCAGGGCTGCTGTATGGCTGCGAACTTTCCACCTTGGGAGTTTTGGGATTTTTTTAGCAGCTGCTAGTCTGTAACGCCTCCATTCACAGGAAATAACTGGCCACGTTTCACCTTGAATAGGAATAAAAATTCTACAGTTGGAAAAATATATATTGTAACACGAGGGTGAACTATTGATAAATGCGTAACTAGGTCAAGAAGTTGAACAATAGTGTTTTCCTTGCTCGACAGCTCTCTCATGTCCAGTAGAAACAGCTTACTGCCCTGTGATGTGCTTAGTTGTACTGGTTTAGTGACTTGGAAGCCATTGCTGGCTTGGACTCGCTTTGTACCCAAGGAACTACCTTCCAGTATTCTGTTGCTTACTGGGCATGCAGCACACAGGTGACTTTTCGGGTGTTGTGGCAACACTAAGGCCATTGTTTTACAAGTGACATAAAATGGATGGATCATCAGACACACAGTCTTCCCAGAGGGAAAATGGATTGCAGTAGAGCTCCTGTATAGCCCTCCTGTTGGGGTGGAATACTTGGGTGACGCAGGCTTCTGATGAGCCAGGTTTTGAAGGAACTCTGTTGTGCTTTTGTTTCCTCTCAAACTTTAGAATATTCCCTTAGTAACAGTGGAATTGATTTTTTTTTTTTTTTTTTTTAAACACCCTCCATCTCCGATTAAGGACCCTGCTGGCGTAGTGGTTAAGAGCTATGGCTGCTAACCAAAAGTTCAGCAGTTCAGATTCACCAGGCGCTCCTTGGAAACCCTATGGGGCAGTTCTGCTCTGTCCTGTAGGGTTGCTGCGAGTCGAGATCAACTTGACTGCAACGGGTTTGGTTTGGTTTTTGTTTTATTGGTAACCACTTGAGTAATCTAGACCCCAAATTGAATTTACCTGGTCAAATTGGTAACGAGCGTTTTCTTGAAAGATAAATTCTTTGCAACAGAGTAAAAATTGTAATTGAGAGAAAACATTAAATTTACTGTGGCTTAGTGTACAGTTATTGACATTCTTAGAAGGACATCAGCAGACAATTGATCTTTGTCATCCCTTCCCCCGTAGACAGTGAGCTGCCGTATCCTGGCAAAGGTAGATTCCTGGGAAAAGGTGCTTGTTTATCTTTGATTTAGCCTGACTAGTTAGTTACTGTTGATCGTTTCTTCCAGATAACATTTAGTTCTTAAATAATGTTTGTTGTTTCACTGCTAATGAGTGTTTCAGCAGCACCGGCGAACCTCGGTGCAGGGAATTCCTTACGCATTGAGCCCCGCCCCAGTGTCCAGCGGGCCTCCGCGGGCCTTAGCTTCTGACTTTCCTTCCCCTGAGGCGTGTTATTGTTTGATGTGCAATGAACAGAATGATTGACTTTCTCTAAGGACTTGACAAAAACTTCCACTGAGGATGGCCCTCATTTTTGAGGGGGGCACCGACCCCCAGGAGACAGGATGATGCCTACCCAGTGTTGGGTGTTTAGGGAGATTTCTTAGACGATGCTGGGACGGCAGCAGGCCCTTCTCTCGTGCCTGCCTCTCCTCATCCTCCAAATACACCACTCGGACACACACTGTCCACCACTGGGGAGGCGTTCACGTGACTGTTCGGCATTGGAGCTCTAGGACTCACTTGTCACCCCTGGAACTGTCAGCAGCTGACTCAGAATCAGGAGACCGAGTGGGGTAATTGACTTCAGAGAGGGAGGGTTTGTGATTGGACTTAAGCTGCTCATACGGTGATTCTTAGTTGTTTACAGTTCAGTTTCTCTTTTAGCATTTCTTATTCCCTGTGGTTTTGGAATTGGTAGCAATTCTAGTTTTTAAAAAGGAATTCTAAACATATTCCAGAATATTTCGAAGAATGTAACTCCTAATAATCAAAATGCATATTTAGTGTAATTTATGTATTTTTTAACCCTATTTATTTTCCTTTGTTCTTTTGCTCACAGTACAAATATTTCTGGTATGCAGATGTTATTTGTAAAACAAGTTATAGTTGTAACTATTCTTATTTCTATGTTTTTCTTTATTTTTATTTTTTTTACAGAAATGAGCCGTCAGACCGCGACAGCATTACCCACTGGGACGTCCAAGTGTACCCCATCCCAGAGGGTGCCTGCCCTCACAGGCACAACCGCATCCAACAATGACTTGGCGAGTCTTTTTGAGTGTCCAGTCTGCTTTGACTATGTGTTACCACCCATTCTTCAGTGTCAGAGCGGCCATCTTGTTTGTAGCAACTGTCGCCCAAAGCTCACGTGTTGTCCAACTTGCCGGGGCCCGTTGGGGTCCATCCGCAACTTGGCTATGGAGAAAGTGGCCAATTCAGTACTTTTCCCTTGTAAATATGCCTCTTCTGGTTGTGAAATAACTCTGCCCCACACAGAAAAAGCAGACCACGAAGAGCTCTGTGAGTTTCGGCCTTACTCCTGTCCGTGCCCTGGTGCTTCCTGTAAATGGCAGGGCTCCTTGGATGCTGTCATGCCCCATCTGATGCATCAGCACAAGTCCATCACAACCCTGCAGGGAGAGGATATCGTTTTCCTTGCTACAGACATTAATCTTCCTGGTGCTGTGGACTGGGTGATGATGCAGTCCTGTTTTGGTTTTCACTTCATGTTAGTCTTGGAGAAACAGGAAAAATACGACGGTCACCAGCAGTTCTTCGCAATTGTACAGCTGATAGGAACGCGCAAGCAAGCTGAAAATTTTGCTTATCGACTTGAGCTAAATGGTCACAGGCGGCGATTGACTTGGGAAGCGACTCCTCGGTCTATTCATGAGGGAATTGCAACGGCCATTATGAATAGTGACTGTCTAGTCTTTGACACCAGCATTGCACAGCTTTTTGCAGAAAATGGCAATTTAGGCATCAATGTAACTATTTCCATGTGTTGAAATGGCAGTCAGACCTTCTCTGGCCAGTGTTTAACACGTCGCATTCAACTTCACAGAGAGTAAGGCAGCCGTCCGCCTGCCAGCCGGAAACTGCTTTAGTAGGTGGAAGCTAGACGCGGGAAGGTAAATAAAAGGAAGGCTGTTAATACAGGAAACAGTTGCATGTAGTAACACTAATATATTTAAAAATAAGTCAACAGTAAACCACTGAGAAAATATATATATATATATCCTCCCAAGACGGGCATCTTTTGTATTAAGAAAGTTGATTCTGCAGGAAGCATTGTAAAATAATTCTGAATTTGTGTTTGTTGTAGATCGATTGTACTGTTGAAAAATACTGGGGTTTTTTGTTTTGTTTCGGCGTGTGTGTGCGCACGTGTGTATGTGTGTGTTGGGTTTTTTCTCCCCCTTAACTGACAAGCCATGTGGAGTGGTCCTGGACCGCTGCTTTCCGAGCCCTCTGTGAGTCACTGCGTAGTGCTGCTGTGTGTGGTTTTTCTTCGTGTGTGTGTGTGTGTGTGTGTGTGTGTGTTTGCTAATTTTTATTAAGTCTAGTTTTTCATTAAATAAATAAATTTGACTTTCTTTTCTGTAATTCAGGTTTTTCCTTACTTTTTTTGTACCTTTTTAAAGTTAGTGTCTTTTTGATATGCATAATTGTTTATGGTGAAGTTATACATATGTGTTTGGTATTTTCTTTTCCCCCATTGATCAGTTAATTAGAAATATTTTAAATTCAGCTGTTTTGTGAAGATAAGAATTCCAGAAAGGAAAGGTAACATTGGAAGAATTATCAAAAGCTATTTAAAGCAGCTAAAAAAATGGTCTCAGTTCTGTCTCTTTTTTCCATTTGAGTCATACCTTCAAACTTATTTTTTGAAAGGTTAGGGAATAAATTCTGATTTTTAAAAAAAAGAAAATCAGGCTTTTTTTTTCCTTTTTCAGATATTTTGGGTAAATCACATGTTTAAAATTTGTTCTTGTATTTATTGGTTTTGGAGAAGAAGGCATAGTCTTACACAGTATTTGTAATTAAAAGCAAATCATTTGTTTAAAAAAGACAGTTTGCAAAAAAAAGATGTTTTTGTCTTTTATAATTCTCATTAAAAGAATATCTGGCAAATTAAAAACTCTTAATGTGTCTGCTTTAGCTCTAAGTTTGATGAAAATCCCCCAGTTACTTTCCTCTTGCGTTCTGCACTTTGGGAGAGCTTAGATAAGCTCTGAGGCTGGAGAATGCTTAAGGCCACTGTTTGGATTACAGTTTCCTTTCTTCCTTCTTGCCAACATCTTGTCACCAGCGGCCTTGCTTCCTGAGGGTGCACTGGAGTTAATACTAGTAGCGACCTCGGGAGGTTGAACGGGTACAAGTCAGTTACCTAGAACGTTGCTTCCGTGGAGTAAGCACCGTCAGATGGAAGCTGCTGTGGGTGTGCCTACGGGTAATTGTTGCTCATCAGCCTTCGAGGTACATGGCAACACTTTGAAATTGCCTTCTGAATGGCCAGAGATCATTTTATTTTGTGTGGTTTCTATGGATACTGTTAAGTCTAGAAAGTCAATTACAATTAATTTGTATTTCCCCCTTACCCCACCATCAATTCCAGACAACAGAGTTTACTTCTCTTAGTCTTTGTCTTCCCTGTGTGAGCGTTGCTTTTTGAACTGGTTAGAACGTGTGCTTGTGAAGCCATTTCTTTGTGCTGAAAAGGAACAGTTCAACCACAAATCCAGGCCTACTGTTAGCATGTGTTTTACAAAAGCAGCTTTTCCACCCTACTTGGTCCAAACAGACAAACCAAACCTGTTGTCACCAAGTTGATTCCGACTCCTAGCGGCCCTACAGGACAGCGCGGAGCTGCCCCATGGGGCTCCAAGGAGTGGCTGGTGGTTTCCAGCTGCTGATGACCTTTTGGTTAGCAGCTGAGCTCTTAACCACTGTGCCCCCGGGGCGCCCTACTTGGCCCAGCACCTCCATTTTACAGATGAGCAATCTGCCCTGGACTTGTGATCAGGCCTGGCCAGTTCCACCTCGGGTTCACACTGCTCCCCCTGCCGCTCTGGACTTCTCTGTCCTCCCTTCTCCCCTCCTCCTCACTGTCATCCCGTCGTTGGGGACTCTGCTGTTTTGACTGAGTACCCTGACTGCAGGAGCTTCTGACTAGTTAGTTTTTCCCTTGCTTAAACTGTTTCTACCTCTTTCTAAACATCTTTTTTTGAAATTTTGGTGAAAAATACACATGACAAAACATACCGTGTGTCGGGTTCAGTGACCGAGGCTCCTTACCTCTCACTGAGTCGCCTTTCTCACTGTCTCCACCCATAGTGTTGCCGGCTGTCCCTCGGCCCCTTAAAGCGCTCACCTGTGCTGTAGGCTCACGGTTGGTCAGTTGGGTCACATGTAGCTAATTCTTTGAATGCAGTGCTCAAGGCAAACATCATTAATTGAGCTAAACTGTTTAGTTTACAAATGACTTCATGGGATAGTTTGGTTCCAGGTTTGATGACCAAACCCCCCCCCCCCGCCCCCGGCCCCGCTGTTGAGTCAATTCCGACTCATAACGAACCCCGTAAGACAGAGCAGAACTGTTCCATAGGGTTTCCAAGGCTGTAAATCGTTAATGGAAGCAGACTACAGCATCTTTCTCCTGAGGAATGAACCACCAACCTTTTGGTTAGCAGCCGAGCGCTTTAATCACCTCACCATCAGGGTTTGGTTTAATGACTAGTTATTTGTAATACCTAATTGTTTTACTTTCTGCATAGCAAACGTTTTCTGAAATACTGTTTTATTTATTGACGCTTTCTCCCATGAGAATTTAAGCAAGGATTTGTCTTAATCATTGCTGTATCCATTAATCATTGCTGTATCCATAGTACTTAAATCAGTGCCGGGAACATAACAGGCATTCAAGTATTTATTTTTTAAAATTTATGAATGAATTAGAAGTAGAACTTGGGTTTGTCATATTCCTAGGTCACTGCTCTATTATCCTGGTAATAGATATATTATTATTCCTCATAGAGTGAATACATTTGCAGAGGTGTATCATTTTGTGGTTTTAGCATTTACAATGTTTTCTAATTATGAAATATGTGCTCATTGTACAGATTTTGGGAATTATAAAATGACACACGTGAGATTTTTACCACCGTTCAGAGATGTCTGCTGCATTCTTTCCAGTCTTTTGGGTGTATATGTGTTCATAACATTTATTTTGAAAAAATGGAGATCATAGAATTATGTACCCCTACTTTCACCCCAACACGTAACATGATCATTTTGAGCACTTCAGTTTTTAAATAATCTTCAAAAAACACCATTTTTGGTAATTCCTCTGATGAGTCACTGTAATTTTAGCCAGTTTCTTGTTGTTGGATACCTTGTTTATAAACGACCTGTGAACGCGTCTGTGTTTTCTGGTTATAATAGATTCGAACTGCCGACCTTTTGGTTAGCAGCCGAGCTCTTAACCACTGCGCCCCAGGAATGATAATCTGTAGCCACATTTCTTGGTCCTGTTAAGATGTGATTTATAACTGTTTTATTCTTAAATTGCCTTTGTTATAACAAGTCTTCTCGTCTCCTGTTCATGCCCCTGTTCTTTTGGGGTCTTCTTTCAGGGGAGGGCACGGGCAGGGGCAGGTGACACTCTTCACTCTGCTCTTTCGTTTTTATATTCTGAAACTTGAATTTGTCATGCTGAATGGAATCGTGGGCCAGTTTAGTAAGTTAATGATAGTTTGGGGAACAGTTTTTCCTTTAACTTGAGCGATATTTATTATAGTATGTGTGACTTAAAATATTATTGTGGTAAAATATAACATCTGCCTCTTTAACCATTTAAAAGTGTAAATTCCACGCCATCGCATTCACTGTCGTACAGTCGCCACCACGCTCCGTTACCATCTTTAATCCCCGGAAACAAACGCAGTTCCCCTTCAGCAGTAACTCCTACTCTCCCTCCCCGGCCCCTGGTAACCGCTAATAAGCTTTGGTCTGATACATTGAGCTATTCTAGATGGTTCATGTAAGTGGGATCCTACGATACGTGGCTTTTCCTGTCTGACTTCACTCAGCGTGATGTTCTCAAGGTTCATCCATGCCGTACGCAGCGAGTATCTGCACTTCATTTCTCCTTAGGGCTGAAAGACGACCCATTGTGTGTATATACCACATCTTGTTTACCCATTATCTGTTGATGGACATGTGTGCCTTTTTTTCAGGCCCACATTTCTCTGGAGATAGCTTGGCTCACCAAAAACCACGGTGGGGAGGGCCCCCCTCCCCCCACCAGAGCTCAGCAGCTTTCTAGATTCCTAAGTGGGAGAGTTGGGTAAGTAATCCAGATTGAAAAAAAACACACTGGAGCAAACTAAACGTACTCTGGGGCCAGTCTGCGACTGCTGCATGAGAACAGACGAAGAGTAAGATCAGAACGCAGCAGAGAATAAGGCCTATGGCTCACCCATTAGTACTGAAGTAATTTGCGTAGGTTCTACAGGAAGGTACAGATAAAGTGCTAGGGGAACCTGTAGACCGACTGACCACTGCTTGAACCTTTGTCATGCTCTTCCCCACCCACCCAGTGTGTATAATTCCAAACATAAAGGTTATTTGTGGTTTATTGCTTATGGTCCTAATTATTTACCAAAAGAAATTCAGTTATCTAAAAACTGTATCATCAAGACACAGCCTACAGATGAGGAGAAAGTTTTTGGGAACCGTATATCTGATAAGGGTTTATATCCAGAATATATAAAGAATTCCTACAACTTAACAAAAAAAAAAAAAAAACACCCAATCAAAAAATGGGCAAAGGAATTGAATAGACATTTCACCAAAGAGGATCTATAAGGGGCACATGGGGCTGCCAGGAGTCAGAATCTACTCAACAGCAAATAACAAAAGCAACTAATAAAACCAGTTGCTACTGGGTTGATTGTGACTCATGGCGACCCCATGTGTGTCAGAGTAGACCTGTGCTCCATAGGGTTGTCAGTGGCTGATTTTTTTCTGGAAGTAGATTGCTAGGCCTTTCTTCTGAGAGAGCCTGGGTGGCACAGTGGTTGAGTTGGGCTGCTAACCAAAAGGTCCGCAGTTGGAATCCACCACCCGCTCCTTGAAAAGCCTATGAGGCAGGTCCACTCTGTCCTTAAGGGTCGCTGTGAGTCGGAGTCGGAACTGACTTGACGGCAGTGGGTTTGGTTTTTGGTTTCCTTCTGAGGAGCCTCTAGGACTCCAAGTTCTGACCTTTCAGTTTGCATGCGCTTGTACCGTCCTCACCAATTACGGAACCAAACCAAACCCATCGCCACTGAGTCAGTTCTGATGCAAATCAAAAGTACAATGAGATGCCACCTCACTCCCACTAGAATGGTTGTGATATAAAAAAGAAAGAAAAATAATGTGTTGTTGAGGATGTGGGGCAATAGGAACCCTCACTCATTGCTGGTGGGAATGCAAAATGGTAGCTGTTGTGCAGAGTTTGGTGCTTCCTCAAAAAGCTGGACACAGAACCACCACTGTCATTAGGTGCCGTTGAGTCGGTCCCGACTCATAGCGACCCTGTGTACAACAGAACACAACAACACTGCCCAGTCCTGCGCCAGCCTCATAATAGTTGCTATGTTTGAACCCATTGTTGCAGCTACTGTGTCAGTCCATCACCTCATGGAAGGTCTTTCTCTTCGCTGATCCTCTGCCAAGTGGTGTCCTTCTCTAGGGACCGGTCCCTCCTAATACCATGTCCAAAGTACGTGAGCTGGTCCTCGCTTCTAAGGAGCATTCTGGCTGTACTACTTCTAAGATTTGTTCTTCTGGGAGCTCTTGGTATATTCCGTATTCTTCCCTGACACCATGGCCCAGTAATCCCAATCCTAGGGATATACCTAAATGAACTGAAAGTCGGAATGCAAACAACTTGTATGTCAGCGTCAACGGCAGCACTGCGGACAATAACCAAAAGGTGGAAATAACCTGAATGCCCATAAACAGATGAACGGATGCGCAAACTGTGGCATTTACGTACAACGGAGTATTACTCAGCCGTAAAGGGAAACGAAGTTCTGATACACGCTGCACCATGGATGCACCTTGAAAATATGCCGAGTGAGAGCAGTCAGTCACAAAAGGATAAACACTGTGATCCCACTTATATGAACAGGCAGATGCAGAGACCAAAGTTGATTAGTGGACACCAGGGGTGGGAGGGAGGGCGGAAAGGGGAGTTTCGGCTCAAGCAGCACTGAGCTTCTGTTAATGGCGGTGGAATAATTTGGAAATAATGGATAGTGTGATGCCTGCACGTGATGGATGTAGCCAATGGTACTGAATTGTACATGTAGAAAATGTTGAATTGGCAAGTGTTTTGTTATATATTTACCACAATGAAACAATTTGAAAAAACCGCATCATCAAAAACAAATTTCTTACCAAGCACCTAAGAAAATTTGGTGGTGGACAGTGTGCGGTACAAATTCTTAACAGCCCGGGTTGGAGTTCTGACCTATGCTTCTCTGTCTGAGTCCTCCTGTAAAAGGGGCGGATGGGGTGAGGATGGCTGAGGGGGATGGCGCTTGACCGGGGCCTGGTCCTGCGTCCCCGTGCCTGGCTGAGGGGGACAGTGCTGAGCCTGGTCTTGTGTCCCAGTGCCTGACCGATGGGGACAGTGCTGAGCCTGGTCGTGTCCCAGTGCCTGTCTGAGGGGGACAGTGCTGAGCCTGGTCCTGTGTCCCCGTGCCTGGCTGAGGGGGGACAGTGCTGAACGCTGAGCCTGGTCCTGTGTCCCAGTGCCTGGCTGAGGGGAACAGTGCTGAGCCTGGTCCTGTGTCGCAGTGCCTGACCAATGGGGACAGTGCTGAGCCTGGTCCTGTGTCCCCAGTGTTTGGCTGAGGGTGACAGTGCTGGATACTAAGCCTGGTCCTGTGGCCCTGTGCCTGGCTGAGCTGGCAGTTTCCGTGTCCTTTAATAAAGAAATGTTTTACTATTACAGATGTAATTTTCTCAGGCTTTTCTAAATTCTGAAAAGCATCAAAGGTTCACAGATATTACTATAAACTATCAATTCTCCCCCACAATGGTCTATAAAGTCACATTTTCACAGGCTTGCATTATTATGTTAAGATTTGGGTTGAAGGGTTTGAGTTCATATTGTGAGAAATGCACTGCCAGTATGTTACAGTTGAACTTGATTTAAAGCCCAAAAATACTGAACCCATTGAAGACCTACAGCTCACTGACAGGAACCACACTTAATGTGTTCCAAATAGTGAATGTTATGGCAAAGAAAGCTTTCCTTAAAATGTTCTAAAAAAATCATTTTTGATAACTTTTAAAACACTTCCCTGGCCAGTGATCAGTCTGTTCAGATCCTTTTCCTATTTCCTGGCATCCTTTTTCTCAATGCAGGATCCACCAAACATTAGTAAAACAGAAAAACTGCACATCAGCACTGCACCATAGACCATCCCATTAGGTAATGACTGTGCTTCTGCAGTCTCTTTTTTTAAGCTGCCGACCAAACTTCCATGGGGATGGGAGCTCAGGTACTTCTCATTTTAGCCACAATAATGTGAGCATGAATGTATCTGTTACTTTAAAGCAACAACCACAAAACTTACGGATGTTTACATCTAATAGTTTCAGTTAAACTTTGGATATGGAAAGGGAATGAGCAGCTCAGTGACTCCGTGCCGGGTCCCTGACCGTTAGCGAGGTTTACTCGTTTCAACAGTTTATGAAAGAAAATACTAAGTCAGCCCTCAACCCTTCCTGACCCTCAGTGGGTGACTGTCTGACAACATGGGTGATCTGTATTTACGCTGATTTACATCAGTCCCAACGGGATGGTGGACTAGGGTCGCCTCATATAGGAAGCTCATGGATGTGGTGGTGTGTGCTGTTGAGTCGATTCCAACAGCCCTGGGGTGGGAGACATGGCTGGTCTCTGCATCCAGCAACAGGGGACTCACAATCCTCCACACAACCAGAGACGGCGCTGAAGGGGAAGCCGTGACGTCCCCACTGGATGAAGAGGCCCTGTGGCCGGGATGGGGCCAGGATGCCAATCCTGACTGATGTCCAAGGAGTAAAAGAAAAGGACCGTCTACTTTGTGTTTTTTTCCCTTATTGACCAATTTGAGGTTATCTTTAGGACCATTTCTCATTTTTACTGTGCCATAGGTGAGAGTTTACAGAGCAGATTAGTCTCTCATTAAACAATACACAAGTGGTTTTGTGACACTGGTTGCCATCCCCACGACATGTCAACACTCCCCTTCTCAACCTTGGGTTCCCCATTACCAGCTTTCCTGTCCCCTCCTGCCTTCCTGTCCTTGCCCCAGGGCTGGTGTGCCCATTTAGTCTTGTTTTGTTTTATGGGCCTGTCTGATCCTTGGCTCGAGGGTGAACCTCAGGATGACTTCAATACTGAGTTAAAAGGGTGTCCAAGGGCCTTACTCTTGGGGTTACTCCACTCTCTGTCAGACCACGAAGTCTGGTCTTTTTTTGTGAGTTAGAATTTTGTTCTACATTTTTCTCCAGCTCTGTCTAGGACTCTTTCTTTATTGTGATCCCTGTCAGCAGTCAGTGGTGATAGCCAGGCACCGTCTAGCTGTGCTGGACTCAGTCTGGTGGACGCTGTGGTACTTGTGGTCCATTAGTCTTTAGAACCATTTAAATCCCACTCACACTCGTACAAGCAGGAACCTTACTAAAGTCACAGATTTATCAATATGTTACATATTTAATAATCACTTGAACAGCTCTATTTACAGATAGGCAAAGTGACTAAGGATCTCAGCCTCTTACACAGGGTTCGCTGAAAGGTTCAGAGAGAAACCAAATCATAACCCATTGCCGTAGACTCAATTCCAACTCGTAAGGCGCAGAGCCAAGTAAAAACTTACATGCCTCAAGCAGACAGTGTGAAGTTTCTAGATAACCAAGGCAAGTGAAGCTTTATTTAGTTTGAATACTTGAGAGTGGGGAGCTGTTTCAGTATAGACCCCACAGCTGTACCCTGAGACCTTAGACTTTCTGGAGTTAATTGGTATTTTCAGTAAAAACCCAGCTGATTGTGATACATGGGGTCTTCGGGTAACAGTTTAAAAACCACTGCTGGCTGGGGAAATAAAGGTTTACTGTTTAAATGTGACCCAGCCTCCAGGTTTTCTCAGGAAGCGCCTTCAAAAAGAAAAGGCGGCTTAAAGCAAGAAGCTGCTGCGTCCAGACCCCGCGGGCACAGATAACCCCAACTTCTCAAGAAAAGGTTTTGGTGTTTGTTGCCACTCTCCCGGGCGACCCCAGGCACGTAGGTAACAGCAGGGCTGTGTGAACGCAGGCGGGTTTGCTCTCTCTGGAAGGCAGCTATGCTCTCCCCCAAGCCCTTGTAGGTCTGTGGCGGGCCTTATAATTTACATCTCTAACAAGTTCTCAGGAGCCCTGGTGCCACAGTGGTTAAGAGCTCGGCTGATGACCAAAAGGTCAGCAGTTCAAATCCTCAAATCCACGAGCCGCTTCTTGGAAACCCTATGGGGCAGCTCTCCTAGTTGCTATGAGTCAGAACTGACTTGATGGTAACAGGATTGGTTTTTTTTTTTTTTTTAAGAAGTTCTCAAGAAGTCCTGGTGGCACAATGGTTAAGTGCTCGGCTGCCAACAGACAGGTCAGCAGTTTGAACCCGCCAACTGCTCTGGGAGAAAAGACCTGGCATTCTGCTTCAGTAAAGATTTCAGCCTAGGAAACCCTATGGCGCAGTTCTACTCTGTCCCAAAGGGTCACCAGGAGTCGGAATCAACTCGACAGTACATAGTCCCTGGATGGTCCAAGCAATTAACACCCTTAGCTGCTTACCGAAAGGCTGGCGGTTTGAGTCCAACCAGAGGCACCTTGAAGGAAAGCCCTGGCGATCTACTTTGGAGAAACCAGCACTGAAAACCCTGGGAAGCACAGGTGTACTCTGACACACACGGGGACGTGAGTCGGGACGGGCTTGGTGGCACCTGGTTAACATGCTCAGGTGACACAGATGTTTCTGTCCTGGGAACACAACCAGCCGCCGCTCTGCACCTTTTCAGGGGCAGCAATGATCCCACTCAAGTCACGGAAGAGCTCTCTGTTCTCACTTTATTAAATTAGCATCTAATATCTGCAACAGACAGTAACCCCCACCCGAGCGAGGTTCATTACCGCTGTGATTATGTTTCTAAAGTAGAGGCATCTGCTTACCCTACTGGTGTGAATAAACTCAACTCTCAGTGCCTTCTGACACGTCATAACTGCAAACTCTGGAAAGCTGAGATCTGGACCTACAATTTGCTATTTAAGAGCCCAGGTCTGGTCTTGACAGCAAAGCCGCCATCAAAAGCTGCGTTGAGAACTTCCTCCAGGCAGCTGGCTGTGACAAAACTCAGATCCTGTCGCACATTGGCTGGGATTTCTTCCAGGTCCTTCTCGTTCCTCTGAGGGATGATGATCTGCTTCAGTCCCGCTCTGTGAGCTGCCAGCACTTTGTCTTTAATTCCACCCACCTGGACAGAGAGAAGCACGTTACTGAGGTTTCCCATCTCCTCTTCAGGTGAGAAAGAAACCCTGACCCACCTTTCACTGAATTTAACCCCTGCTATTTAAAAAGTCCAGGTCATCTTCCTCTTTGGCATAGCGTGAGCTAAGCAAGCCATGAAAAGGTTCATAGAAAGCGACCTACATTCTGCACGTCAGCGCCACAGTGAAGCGCTCATCTGATGACCAGTATCACTGATCTGTGACACTGGAACACGGTCCTTAATTTTAACGGGGAGATTCTGCCGCGAAGTTTCGGACAGGTAGACGCCCCTTCGCTTCTGTCAACTAGCCCTTTTCTACGTGGTCGAAGCTAACACATCCTGTGCTGTACTGTCTACAGGTTGATTCTGAAAAGGCGATAAAAGCATTAGTCTGACTACAAGTACTGCTCCTTCAGAGCTCAGCTGTATGCCAGGATAATTTCCTCTAAGGTTTAAAGCCGTGACCTCTACGCCACTTAATGGAGAAGTGGTAAGTATTAGTGTCAAGTTCAAATGCCTCTTTCAAACACATCACCAGTTGTTCAATCAGACATTTTGGTTTGCTTCGTACTCTGACAGGGCTTTCTCTATAGCTTTCTATTTCTCTTAAAGCTTAACTGCTTTTTTTTCTTACAAAGAAAACATACCCTAAAACTATCTGGCTCTGTGGTAGTTTTAAAATATGTCCTCAAGTTCTCCCTCCAAAGGCAGAGTCCAGTTCCCCTTGAGTGTGGGCCAGCCTCAAAGACTCAGAAAGAGAGTATGGGGGAGGTGATGCTAGGAGACTCCAGGACTGAGGTCATAAAAAATGACAGCGTCTGCCAGGATCTCTCTCTCTGATCGCCGGCCCTGGAGGAAGCCAGTTGCCAAGGCTGAGGTCACTTAAGCAGTCTCTGCAGAACCCCATGAGGTGAGAATATGGGGCCTTGTGCCAACAACCAGGACCACCTGCCAATCATGTGAGTGGGCCACCTGGGAAGCAGGTCTCACAGCCCCAGTCAACCCTGCAATGGACAGGAGCCTGCTGGTGTCCTGAGGGCCACAGAAACTGCTGTGGGGTAACGTGTTACACAGTGGTGGAGAGCCACACCACCTAGCGCGTGCACCCCGGGGCAGCCCTCGGACACCGCCCCCAGCGGGATGAGCTGCCGCCCCAGCCCACCACCATCCTTTCGAGGTTTTTTTTTTCCCAGGTACATCTTCCAAATACCTTCCTCTGAAAGGGTGTAGGATAAACTGATTCCCTGCATGTAGGAAAATGCAATTCTGCTTTCATGCTTGGCAGTGAAGCTGTGTATACAAGACCTAGGTTTAAAATAATTTTCCCTCCGTGTTTTCAAGGTACTTCTCATCCAGGGTCACGGATGAAAAAGCTTTATTCTTGGTGATCTGAAAACGCACGAGGACGGAGTCTTTATCCTCGTTGGTATAGGCGTTTTCAACCTGAAGATCCCTTAAGTTCTAGGAAATGTTCCGTCATTTCTTTGAAAATTTGTTCTGTCACCACCTTCCTGTCGCCGGGACTCCTATTAATTAGATGTCGGATTTGCCAGATTGTTCATTTCTATTACTTTTTTCCACTAGTTCTTTGACCATTTCTAAAACCGCAGTTTTAAATCCAAGAGCTCTGTCTTATTTCCAGTCTTTAATTATGCCTTCTCTAGCATTAGGAGATCTTTCTCTCAAGAGCTGTTTTTCTTCGTCTGTGGTACTAGTTTAAAACTGAAGACTCACTCAAAGCTCACGTGGCTTTCCTCTGCTCGGGGGGGAAGCCTTTACAGGGTTGTTATTTGCTCTGAGAGCAGAGCACTAAGTGGAAGACCCATTTGTTCTATCAGATTGTCAGTCAATCCCCTACATTTTAAAAAAAAATCTTTAATTGTACTTTAGCTGAAGGTTTACAGAACAAATAGTTTCTCATTAAACAGTTAGTACACATATTGTTTTATGACATTGGTTAACAACCCCACGACATGTTAACACTCTCCCTTCCAACCCTGGGTTCCCAATCACCGGCTTTCCTGTCCCCTCCTGCCTTCTAGTCCCTGTCCCTGGGCTGCTGTGCCCCTTTAGTCTTGTTTTGTTTTATGGAGCTGTCTAATCTTTGGCTGAAGGGTGAACCTCAAGAGTGACTTCATTACTGAGCTAAAAGGATGTCCAGGGGCCATACTCTCGGGGTTTCTAGAGTCTCTGTCAGGCCAGTAAGTCAGGTCTTTTTTTGTGAGTTAGAATTTTGTTCTACATTTTTCTCCAGCTCTTTCCGGGACCCTATGTTGTGATTCCTGTCAGAGCAGTCAGTGGTGGTAGCCGGGCACCATCTAGTTGTACTGGACTCAGTCTGGTGGAGGCCATGGTAGCTGTGGTCCATTAGTCCTTTGGACTAATCTTTCCCTTGTGTCCTGTTCTCTTCATTCTCCCTTGTTCCCAAAGGGGTGAGAAAAGTGGAGCATCTTAGATGGCTGTTCACAAGCTTTGAAGACCCTAGATGCTACTCACCAAGGTAGAATGTAGAACATTTTCTTTATAAACTATGTTATGCCAGTTGAACTAGATGTCCTCTGAGACCATGGTCCCCAGCCCTTAGCCTAGTAATTCGTTCCCTCAGGGAATTTGGATGTGTCTATAGAGCTTCCATGACGTTGCTTTGTACAAGCTGTGCTGGCTTTCCCAGTATTGTGTACTATCCTACCCTTCACCAAAGTTACCACTTATCTGTTGTCTATTTAGTTTCTCCCTCCCATATACATTTCTTAAAATGTGGTACAAATATACACAACCAAATACTCGCCACTTCAATGTTTCTACACGTACAACTCAGTGAACTGACTACACTCTTCACGTTGTACAGCCTCCATCACTCCGTTTTTCCTATTCTTCACCACCCTTCAGAGACTCATATCTCATTCCTGCTCGTGTCTGCCCCGTCTGGCTCTGAGCCAGCACCCTCCTCAGATTTCTGCTGGGAAATGGTCTGTACCTTGAATTCTGCTTCATTAGCCAGAACACTTTTATCTTCTAGAAATTTGTTGAACTGTCAGCTGAGGACCCGCTGATTTCTGACAGTGTTAGGGTTTCTTCCCTTCTATGCCTTGCTCAGTCTACCATTCTGGAGTAAGGAGCAACTACCGCAGGCCGTCCCCGGCTTACAAACGAGGTCTGTTCCTGAGTGCGTCTCTAGGGCCAATCTGTAGGGAAGCTAAAACATGTGCATAGGCTTCTTATTTAGCCTGAGTTTGGTGCAAGAAGAGGCTGGAAGCCTTTTCAGTGATTTAAAAGCTGCATGTGCAGCCAGTGAAGGTGACTGTGAGGAAGAGTTTCTGGCGAGTAGGGGCTGGTTCAGTCGTTTCAAAGTCAGGGCGAATTACCTAATGTTAAAGGGCAAGTAGCAGCCGCCCGCAAGCTGGCTGTCCATAACTGGGGACTCACTGTATTGTCACTTGAAATGTAATAGCTCCTGCGGAAAGGGGAAGGAAAGAGATCAGCCATTCCTTTGGGGTAGAAATCTACAAATACAGCACAATACGTGGAATTTAGAATATAACTGACCTTATGGTTGAATTTAAAAAAATTGGGGAACTGAGAGCACTTTTAACGGTCTTAATTGGTATTTCTATGACCTACTTTCACCATTACTTCATAAAATAAGGACTTTCTCAGAATAAAGAACATTGCTTATTTTCTCATTCTGCTGTGAATCTGCCAAAACGGTAGACTGGAATTGGTAACTAGTGACCTAAAAGTCTAAGTACACTCTCCGGTTCTGTACATTTGTCTCGGTGTTTTTATCGGTAGTTAGGATACGAACTGTAGCCCCAAGGCCCCATGTGCATAGATCTTTTCCACAATGTAGCACTTCTGCATGGTCAGGCTTTATTACAGAGTCCGTTCTGTACTAGCTGTTTTTCTATAAATCTATGACCTACAGTAATCTAAGCTTTCTGTAGGAGGGGAGGTTTCAGAGGAACGTCAAGAGGTGAGAATTAGGGTTCATGTTTACAAACAGCTACCACCCTACTTTACAGATCCGCTATACATTGTCTAATGATTTGTTAATTAGAATAAGGCCTTCAGGCTTCATCTGAACAGCTGATACTTTTGATGATGAGACTAATAATCTTTTTTTCTCCCCTTAGCAAGTCCTGTTAGTAGAAACAGGGCTTCAAACTGGTTTGTTCCAGTTCGAACCCCTGCTGAGAATTTGCATCTCCATCCCAGATAATACTCAACCATCATCTACAGCTTAACAAGATCCTCAGGTGATTCTTACCTAGAATAAGCCACTGCTCTACCAGTGGTTCTAACTGGTCCTTAACCAGCAGCATTAGCATTGCCTGGGAACTTGTTAGAAATGCAAATTCTCAGCAGGGGTTCGAACCTGAACAAACTGGTTCCAAGCCCTGAGTAGAAGGGAAGAACATGGGAAGAACTGTCAGTTTTTCTTCCATTTGATTAAGATTTTAAAATATGAATTAGCACTGGTAGAAAAATTTAACATGTGTCTAAAAGGTATTCACAGAGGAAGGCGTTAATTGAAATTTAAACATACATGTAAACAGGCTCTGTCATACTTACTGGGAGAACGAGGCCTCTCAGCGTAATTTCTCCAGTCATGGCTACATCAGAACGCACCAGCCGCCCACTGAAAAGTGAGGCAAGACAGGTTACTATGGTAACTCCAGCAGATGGTCCGTCTTTGGTGACAGCTCCAGCTGGGAAGTGCAGATGGATGTCTGTGTTGTCAAGAAGATCAAAACTTCCAGAAGCTTAAAAAGGAAAAGAGGATTTTAATGTGGAAAAATCAAACCTGCTTTCTCTTACTCCTAAAAAGAAAATCAAAGCAATAAAAATGAATATAAGTATGCATAAATATGTACAGGAAGGCATATATGAATAACTGTAGGCATGTGTATATACAGGTTTATGTGTGCTGCATATATTTTCAAGTATAAAACAAAGCACATAGAGGCACAGTTATGGATACTTCCTAGATACAGCCAAATACCTCATGGAATTGGTCTACAGCGTTTGAAGGCTTACGACCATAGGCTCATGGGGCAACTCAGTCAATTGGCATAATATAGTCCATAAAGACAATGTTCTACATCCTAGTTTGGTGAGTAGCATCTGGAGTCTGAAAAGCTTGTGAATGGCCATCTAAGATACAACTACTGGTCTCTACTCGTTTGGAGCTAAAGAGAAAGAAGAAAACCAAAGACTCAAAGAAGAACCAACAGTTTTACAGAACCAACAGTGTACATGAACAATGACATCACCTATCTTGAGACCAGTAGAACTAGATGGTGCCCGGCTACCACTACCAACCGTTCTGACCAGTGATTCAATAAATGGTCCCAGACAGAATGGGAGAAAAATGTAAAACAAGTGAAATTCCTAAAAAAAGCCCAGACTTTCTGGACCAGTAGAGATTAGATGAACCCCCAAGACTATCGTCCTGAGATACTCTTTAAACTTGGAACTCAAACCACTCCCAGAGGTCACCTTTCAGCCAAATGACAGTGACCCATAAAACAAACAACATCGCCTGTGAGTACTATGCTTCTCAAAATAATCATTTAGATGAAACCAAATGGTAAACATTTACCCTAAACAAAAGATGAGAAGGCGGGGGGTGGGGGGAGCTAGATTAATGGAAACGACGAGAATGCTGATATATTGTGAAGAATGTAACCAATTTATCACTGAACAATATGTATAGAAATTGTTAAATGAAAACCTGACTTCCTGTGTAAACTTTTACCAAAAGCACAACATTAAAAGAAAAAAAAAAAGACTACGTTGGGTAAATGAATCCTTTAAAATATTAATGGATAGTACAGAGTGGGAGTCTAGAAGAGTAATTCGTTTCACGTTATTCTAAGTAGGATTAAAACCAAAACAAACCCTTCTGAATTTGTTTCTAGTTAAGGTACTAGCCAAACTGTCCTCAAATGGTAAACAGAATTTCCACAAAGGGTTCAAAAAATTAAAGGTTTGTGTTTTACTGAATGGTGTAACTGATAATTCAAAGCCCATCTTAATCTTTGTCAGAGAATTGTGAAATGCCTCCTGGATCATGAATCAAAGGTCTTTCTTCTTCCCCCACAGCGGTGTCCCGAACATGGCCAGGCCACTTACCATTAGTCAAATGGTATTTCTTTGCATTGCTGCGAAGCCAGCTAATGGCCAGATGGGCAGACTCCTTCATGACATCCCCGAGCTGGCCAGTTAGAGTTAACTGACCTTCGCCATCCATTCGGCTTGCCTCCACAAACATGATTTCCCCACCTAAGGGAGTCCAAGCCAAACCTATTGCCACTCCTGGTTGACTCAAACGCTCAGATACCTTGAAAGAAAGAAGAAAAATGATCACAGCTGGGTCAACAAGTGCCAAATTATTTTCAGGCTGACTTAACACACTGCCCTGCAAGAGTCTGCTCTTTCCATGGAGGACTTAGGCTACACCTCAGAGCACTTACTTCCTAACATGACCCTGAGTCATGCTCATCACTTACTCTCTTTCACTGGAAGGAAAACCTTCCTCTCTGGCATTAAAGCAATTTTACTTTAAAACAGTGTGAATAACTTTGATTTTAGACAGATCTAGTTACAAATGCCCTATTTTTCAAGGAACAAACCCAATTTTCAAAAAATCTATTTAAGCATTTGTATTGCCCAGTGCTGTCAGGTTGATTCTGACTCACAGCGACCCTATAGGATAGGGCAGAACTGCCCCATAGGGTTTCCAAGGAGCAGCTGGTAGATTCAAATTGCCGATCTTTAGTTTAGCAGCCAAGCTCTTAACCACTGTGCCGCCAGGGCTCCGAAATATTTGTATTAGGCTACATATTTATATATTCTCCAGAACCTAACTTTATTTTCAGTAATCATGAATTTGTTTCAGAAACCAGAAACCGTCTTACTAACATACATTGAAGAAGTGTTAAATCTAGAGGCCAAGTGTGGAGGTGTACATTACAAACCCCTAAACATTTTACTTCTCCGTCATTTATCTTTCTCTGGGTTGCTGCAAAGATACTAGAGAACACTACTTTCTGGTATCCTACCTTTGTGCCATGTGAGAGGAGGCCCACTGCGCTCCTCAGTGCCATGAGCTGGCACGTTACTCACCAGAGATTATGAGCCTAGGTCACGAGCCTTACAGGTTAACACATCCAAGATATACAAACCAATCCGCTGCTGTTGAGTCGATTCTGACTTACAGTGACCCTACAGGACAGAGTAGAACTGCCCCATGGGGGTCTCCAAGGAGCGGCAGGTGGGTTCTAACTGCTGACCTTTTGGTTAGCAGCTGCGCTGTTAACCACTGTGCTAGCAGAAGTACTTGGTAAATAGCTAACTGGAAGGATGGGGAGTGTTGATAAGTATGAATGGCCAAACCCAAAGCATCTGGGCTCACAAGCACTTTATTTAGACCTGAGCGTAAGCGTTCTAATATAACCAGAATATGGGACTAATGACCAACCTGTGTAATTTACCACCAACATACCCAGATGGGAGAAGTGAAAGGCGTGGATGACAATCAAACCTGCAATCTTTGATCAAGGCTAACAGTAGTTCTCGAAGAGTAAAGAACTTTAATTCTTAGACTTGGAGTCATACTCTTCACGGTCATGTGTTCTGAAATGTAACAAGCCCCCAGTTTCTATGCATTTCTGTCTCAAATGATGCAAGAGCAAATAAATATGAACTTAAAGGATAAGATATAAGCTCCTTTCTTGCCCTTGAATGCAGGCAGTTTTCCAGCCATCTTAACCCCCTTACAGAGAACGATTGGTATTTTGTACTATTCCTTAATAAGTGACTGAACACAATTTGAAAACTATGTTCATCCACCAGTACTTTTCTGTCAGCTTCTATTTTCATTACTGGTTTGTGGAATCATCAATTGTATTAGCCAAGACAGGCCTAGATGTGAAGCTTAGAGTGGTTTTCCCACTAGATGTTAAAAGTGGAACATGGGTATTGAGGTCATTTTTTTGTCATTCAAACTATTCTTGTACTTCAATATTTTAAGTATATAGCTGTTTTAAAGTTAGGCTAAGATCTTTTTGATACAAGTACTCCAGAATGTTTCATAAGACTTTGAGCAAATTAATCTCGAAGTAAAAATACACATTCAGATTCTAGTTTGCTCACAATCACAGGGCACTGGTCAGAGAGCTGGTAACCATCTCAGCTGGTATGCTAGATGACAAACATCTCAGAGTTGGTGTGCCAGACGACAAACATCTCCTCAGAGTCCGTGTGCCGACGACAAACCATCTTCTCAGAGTCGGTGTGCCGACGAGAAACATCTCCTCAGAGCCGGTGTGCCAGACAACAAACATCTCCTCAGAGTCGGTGTGCCAGACAACAAACATCTCCTCAGAGTTGGTGTGCCAGACAACAAACATCGTCTCAGAGTAGGTGTGCTAGACAACGAACTACCTTCTCAGAGTTGGTGTGCTAGACAACAAACCACCTTCTCAGAGTCGGTGTGCTAGACAACAAACATCTCAGATACGGTGTGCTAAACAACAAACCACCTTCTCAGAGCAGCATGCTAGACAACAAACATCTCCTCAGAGTCCGTGTGCTAGACGACAAACATCTCCTCAGAGTC